TTTCATAAGAAGATAAAAATGATAGCTGACAACTCTGATATTAAATTAAGAGTACTAAAAGAATTTTCAAGTTATAAATGGTCGAGAACATTATATTATTCTGAAATAACAACATGTCCTGAAGTTTCAGCAATTAAAACTTGTGAAATTAAAATAAGACCAACTACTAAAACAAATCCATCACTTTTAAAATATGAATTTATGTGGACATTTAGTAGTGATGATTCTGATTTTATAGAAATTGTATATTCACCAATTGGAAATATAGAAGAAGGTGGACATGACATAACAGTAAATACTCCTTGTTTGTTATTTAATCATTTACAAATTATTCAAATATTAATTGAACTAGTAGAAGAAGGATGGGCAAACATTGTTCCAGGACCTAACATGAATTCTATTGGAGATTGTACATTAGTTATGTATTTAACTACCAAAAGTGATGTATCAAATCCCCCATATGATACAAGAACCCTTCATTTTAAGTTTGATAAACCAAATGTTATTAAAAATGAAAAAACAATAAGTGTTATTATTATGGAAATGAGCTCAACAAAAAAAAGTTATATGAAAACTGGTACTATGATATCATTAGGAAAAGATATTGATGGATCTTCTTCATTTATTGAGTAAATTTTTGAAACATTTAGAAATTTGAATTTGAAAAAAGAAGAATTAAAAAAGAATAATAACAAAACAATAAAATAATATTCTTTTTAAATTGTTTAACAAGAACTAAAAAAAATAAGGGTTTTTACAATATATTCAAATATTCTTTGAATGGTATGTTACTTTTTATTATCGTACAAAAGAAGACTGAAAAAAAGAATTAACAAATTAGACTGGACATAAAGGATTTTCATATAAATTAAAACTTGGAAAGAAAATTCATCAAAACAGAGGTGTTCCACAATGGTTTAGAATGAAGACTGGAAATACCATTAATTATAATTTCAAGAGAAGACACTGGAACAGAAGAAAGATGGGCATGTAAGAGCTGCTTTAATTGAATTTTTTTTATGGGTAAAAAAAAAAGAATATTATTTTGTTTTCAATAATTTGTAGAAGTTTTTAATTATTTTTAAAATTTATATCTTTTTTTTTTAAATTCTTTTTTAATCTTTTTTTTTTAGAGATCTTTCAAATTCAAATTGAATGAAAAAAACAGCTTTATGGAAAAAACAATCCAAAAGCCCTGGACTTCCAAGTTCTGGACAATCAATGGAATTTGAAGAATTTGATGAAGAAGATATTTGGGTTGATTGTTTGTCAACACTTAATAGTGATATTACAAGTGGGGTTATTTCATATTTATTAAGACAATCATTAACAGAAGAAGAACGAGAAAAGAATTCACAAATGATTTTAGGATTCTTTAAACAAATTGATAAATTACCTGAATTTATAAATTTCTGTATTGAAAGGGATTATTTTATAAAATTAGATGCTCCGACAATTTATTCTCCATTTACTTCAATAATTGTTTCAATTGTGAATATTTGTGATCAGGAATTATTTTTAGAACTTCAACAAGCATTGATTAAAAAATGTGGGAAATTAAAAGGAATAGAAGTTTGTTTTTATATCTTTTATACTTTCTTTTAATATTTTTAAATATTTAATTTTTTTAGTTAGATGAGGAAAAGAAAAGTTCCTCTGAAAAAACATTGAAAAAATTAAAAGAATTATTGGTATATTTTGTTGAAAGTTGGATGAATTATAAAAATTTTTCTCCGTTTGTTTTTTTTTAATAGTTCTTAAAAACACAAAAAATAACAAAAGGATTAATTTTAATAGACTTGTTATTGATATTTGGTCACAAACACAAGAATTATTAATAAGTAAAGGTGTTGATCAAACTACAATTGATAAAACAATGACACGTATTATTTTCTTATCTCCTTTTAATTCATTTGTTTCTTGTTGGAAGTCACAAGTTGAAACAGTTGATGCAGTTATTTTATTGTCTAAATTATTACAATCATTATTATCACCTATACCAACACAATCATATTGGAAAAATTGGATGAAAGATAATTGTAAGGATTTATTAGAAAAAATGACTAAATTTATGAGAAGTAAAAAAGGAATTACTATTCAAAGAAGAAACTTTGATTTAAATGTAGTACCAAATGGTTCATTATTAATTGAATCATTAAATAAAGATTGGAAAGAATTAAAAGATTATATTAGTCCTGAAGGATTTCATTTAGTTGAAATTCATATGCAAGAACAAACAGAATTAAAAGTAAAAGCATTATTAATTATTAGAGAATTAAATAATTTACGAGTAACTACGTTTAATGAAAATCAAATGTATCTTCAAAAAATGTCACAAATGAAAATGAGAATAAAAGACTTATATGAAGAAAGAAGATATTTAAAACAATTACTTGGAGAAGATGATGATGATGAGAAACAATGAAAATTTGTTGTAATTGAAATTATTTTTTTTTTTAATTTTTAATTCATTTTAATACACTAAAACATATTAATTTTAATGAGAAAAATTAATTAATGAAGAACTAAGGATGAAGACAACGTTCATGATAAAATTCACCATTTTTAACAATTGAAGTTTCTCTTGAAGTAATTTTAGTTTGACAAGCTTTACATTTGTTGGTATAAGTAATAGTAAATCCTCTCTTATTTAAATTATTAAATAATGCTCTTTGAGCTGAATCAACAACACTTAAATGAGAAAATAATTGTGAATAATATCTAATAGAAGGTAATAATAATATAAGAGATTCAGAACTTTGAAGAGAATCAAAAATAAGACTGAAAATATTCAAATTATCTCCAGTTTGTGCTTGTGCATTATTATTATTATTAATCCAATCTCTTTGTGTTTTAGTATTTTTTAATGGGATAATTGGGAAAAATCTAATAAATACTTCTAATGCAATTGCAGGAGCATATGCTTTTTGAGTAAATAATTTTGCAATAAATACATTAAGAAGAGGAGATTTTCCATTAGCGTCTTCAAGACAAACACAATGAAGTACAATTTCTGATAAAATATTTTTTCTACCAGATAAGAAAGGACGATGATGTTGTCTAATAAGAGTAATGTACTTTTCTTGATTAGTATTATTTTGGAATGAATTTGCAATTTTTGGATTGATTGCATTTAAAAATTCATATAAATCATCAATAAAAGCAGTTATATATTTCTTTTCATCAACCGTTAATAATTGATTTACAAAAGCTCCAAAATATTCTTCAAGACCATCAATCAAACTAATATGATGTTTTACTCTACATTGTAATCTCCAAGATAATCCATGTGTTTTAGTAATACGTTCTGCATAAGTATTAATTGACATAGCTGAAATTAATTCTTCAGTTGCATTTAATTCATCTTCTCCTGGAAGTTTAGAATATTCTAAATAACATTCAATAAGAAACATATAATCAGAACTTGTATTTTGATCATAATAAGCTTTTAAATATTTAATTAAAGGAACATATATTGTTTTTAAACATGACCTTGAATATTCAATACCATCAGGTTCATCTTTATAAGCTTCTTCAACAAATGAAACAATATTTTTAACACCTTGTTCTAAATCTGTTCCAATTTTAAGAAGTTGATGATGACAAAGAGATAAGAAGAATGAAACTATCACATCGGGAACAATTCTTCCACAATTTTTAGAGAGTGTTTGACAAACTTCATTATATTTTTCATTTTCAAAAGCAAGTAATGAAAAGATAATAGTTTCACTATAAAGTGATGTTAAATTTTTATCAACAAATGGGAAATAAGAATCATTATGTTTTTCACAAGGAATACCAAGTTGTAAACAATCAGGACAAGTCTTACAATCTTTATATTTCTTTCTTAAAATATCTAAATTTTCTACTAATTTAATTTTATAATTTTTTTCATCAATAATTTGATCTTTTAAAGAATTTTTTAGAAAAGCAATTAATTCTCTTTTTGTTTTTGTAATTATTGTATTAACAAGAGTAACATATCTTTGATCTTGTTGTTCACCTTCTCGAACTAATTTTTTTGAAGGATATTCAGCGTTTAATATTAAATACATTAATTCATCATGAGTTTCTTCATCATTATCAAGAAATGTTAATGAACATCTAATTTTATAATAAACTTGTTGTAATTGATCTTTTTTATCAGCAAAACATTTTTTTGCAGAAGTTTGAGTAGTAAAAATTAATCTACTACAATAAGAAACAAATTGATCAGGAACTTGAGGTAAAGTAGGTTCAGAAGCTACAAATTCGAAATATTCTAAATAAGAAAGAATAATTCTTTCAGTTAACCAATCTAAATTTAAATCTGAAGCTTTATGTTTTAATAATTCTTCATATAATGTTCTTAAGAATAAAACACAAAGCCTTAATCTTAATTCATTTTTATATTCAAATATATCATGAAGAACCCATGTTTTAATATGTTTAATACAAATAGCAACGGTTGATTTCATTTTTCTACCACCAAAAATTTGAAAAACATCTTTACCTAAAATAGTATTAATTTCATCATATGTTTTACTTTTGTTTTTTTCAAGAACTTCTTTTAAATATAATTCAACTTTTCTATCAAAATTTATAACATTTGGATCAGCAGAATCAGTTAAAGATAAATCAATAGCAACTGCTGAAAGAGCTTTAAGTTTTAATTCAGTACTAATATTTGGAATATTAAAAATACCATCAAGATAATTCATATTAATATAATATTCTATTAACATCATTCCACTTATTCCATTAATAACAACATCAGAAATTAAATAATCAGTTTGTTTAACAATTTCTTTAATATATTCATGAGTTGGATTAACTCTATGAAGAATAAGAAGAAATGAAGTTAAAAAAATCATATAATCTTCTTTATTTTTCGGTATTTTTGTACTAAAATCAACATCTTCTTCATTTGTATCTAAATCAAAAAATGTTTTATTATTTTGATATAATAATGATGATAAATCTGTTAAAAATTCTTTTTCTACTTCTTGTGAAACACTCATTTTCTTTTTACCATTTTCTGTTGCTTCTTTAATAGAATTAAACATTCTAATTCTTGCTAATTTAGTTGCAGATTCTTTAGGAAGTTCTGATAAATCATTAACCCATTCAGATTCAGAAAACCATTTTTCAAAATGTTTAAAGAATTCAGAAAAGAAGTCTTTAATAATAGTATAAACTAAAACACCAAGAATAATTTTAACTGGAATATTTGATTGTTGTAATTGATAAAAAGTTTCTGAAAGAAAGTCTACATTTCTACATTCAGGATTTGTGTAAAAACTACCAATTCTAAGACATGAATAACAAAATCTTGTTATTTTAATTAATCCTTCTTTATCTTTATTTACTAATGTTGGAAATTTATCACTAAATTTAAGTGCTGCTTCAAAATAAAATTTAGAAAATGCATAAAAGAACCAATCTTCTTTTGGTTTAAAAAATAAACCTTGTTGTTTTTGTGGATTAATAAAAATAGGTGCAAATTGATGTGAATTTGTATATCCTTCTAATGTAACTTGTTTAACTATTTCAGGAACCATTGAAATAGAATTATCAAGTGGAATAACATAATAAGAAATAGAATCTGTTGTATTAATTAAATATAAAATTGGTGATACAAATGAAGCAAATGTAACATTACTTATTTTCAATTTACATATTTTAGATGATGAACAATAATAAGCATCTCCATCACAAATAACTAAACATTGTACTAAATCTATTTTCATTACTTTATTTTTAATACATTTTTTTGGTAATTTTTGTTCTTGAAGAAAAACTGCATTTTCAAAAAAACGTGCAACAACTATTTTTTCTTCACATGACATTAATAAGTCTTTCCCTAAAAATATCATTCCTTGTACTTTTGAATCTGATGTATGAACTCTTGTTATTGCTTTTATATTTCCTTGTGAATTTATAAGTCCAATACTAACTGCTCTTTTTTTATCTTCATAACATGCAATTAATACTGAATCTTTATATATTAATGGACAAATTAAATCAAAATTTAAGTCATGAAATCTTTTTTCTTGATTTACTCGATTTATTGATTCGGTTGATGCTATTGATGTAATTGGTTGTCCAATTGTATATACTTCTATTTTATTTTTTTGTAATGTAATTAATATATTTAATTGTTCAATAAAATATACTTGATCTACTGTTCCATGTAATTTTAATTCAAAATAAAATTGTGTTGGTGGATCAACTTTAGTATTAATAAATGTTAGTCCTGGTCTTTTATTACTTCCAAAAACATAATTCCCTTCATATGTATCTCCACAAGTTGCATCTTGTAAACGTTGAACAATATTAATATCTGGAATATTAAACGTAGTTAAATCTACAGGTGAAATTGACATACTTTCTTTTTTAGTTTTTTTCTTTTTTTTTTATATTTTTTACTTTTTACTTTTTTTTAGATTATTTAAAGTTCTTCTTCCTTAAAATAATTCAATTATATATCAAGCAATATGTGAATATGTGTTTGATCTTTTTCATCATCATATATTTCTAAATTATGCCATGTAATAGCTTTAATTTCTGTTCCTTGCTGATGTTTTCCAATAACAAAATATTCTCCAATACTATATTTATTAATGTTATAAAAAACTATTTTTATTAATTTAAAAAACAAACCCTTTACATTCAATATGGATATTCTCTTCATCATTATCATCAAATACTTCACATTTAAATGATTTACCAATAAATAACTCAGATGAAAAAATACATAACCATGAATCTAAAAATTTAACTAATGCTTCTTCATAACTTGTTGCATCAATACTTATTTTTTTAATTTCTTTCTCTTCAACTTTTGTTAAATCACTCATAAAATTAAACATTCCTGCAGCTGCATTTTCAAATGCTTCAATAATATTTTGTCCCCATGAATGTAAAATAACATCAGCTGGATGATCCAAATCTAAAATTAAGGAATATTTAATTTATTTGATTTTTTAATACAAACAAACATTCAAATGACATATGATAATAATATTTCAGTTCTTCTTTAATTCATCGTTGAGGAATAACAAAAATATTATATTCTATTTATAAAATAACTTATGAAGTAAAAAAAAAATGAAAAGAACTTTAAAAAGAAATAAAAAGAAGATGATAAGTCCAACAAATGTTTTTAAAGAAATAGACAAAGATAAAGATGAATTAATAACAATTGAAGAAGCATTAAAAGGAGTTCATTATGAAATAGAAGAAAAAGAATTTAAAGAATTTGAAGAAAATGTATTATTAATAATAGATTCAAACAATGACAATAAAATAACATGTAAAGAATTTAAACAGTTTTTTAAAATTATTCAAATAGCACAAAATATTAAAATATGTCAAAAAATGAATTATACAAATATTCAAATTCCATTTCCTGAAACTGAAAAATTAAAGTTATATTTTAGATGTTTTAAAACAAATAAAAAAGGAGAAATAACAACAGAACAAATATTA